GTCAGGAACTAAGGAGTTCTCTTTCCTCCCTTACACTACTTCAGCAATTGGAGGGAGCAGATTTAATAATTAAGCATGCTCACAATGTTTCAAAATGAGTTGACTAAATGAATTTCTGAAATTAACAAAACCATGTCAGAATCAAGAGCTGGTTGTGTATTCTCTGTACAGTCTACCACTGTAAATAAAGCACTGCTCTAATGGTAGTATTTTCCATAACAGGAGAAACTATTTTTGTTTCAACTCTTGTTCATGATACCAACAATTTTTATAAAGAGCACAGTCTTGCCTTGCTTTTCAAGGGTTTTCATGATAGAAGCACTGACTCATTTTTGTAGGCTGTTAACAACTTCTTTAGACATCCTGCACAATAAACATTCATATTTTAAAGTAATACATTGCATTGCCATATCTCAAAGAATTTTGACAGATTGACTAAATATTGCATTATCCTAACAGGAACAAAAACTGGCACAGAAATTACTTGCAGAAAAATTTAATTAATGGAGAAAACTGGAAGTAGAGTTTAGACCTACCATACCTCTTATCAGGTATCTAAGGATTAAGTTATATGGGAATTGCATTGATCCTTCCTTTTCCAGCAAATTTCAATTTTCATATGGAAATGTGGGCCATATCTCCTACATGTTGTACTCTATTTCATGGGTTGTCATCAGAACTCATGCTTCTGAGAATAAATCAAATATTGATATTAGCCACTAAATTATAATTTTTGGAGTGGTAACTATTGAAGTCCTACTTACACCACAACTCCACCTTTTAGAAAGCACAATATAATTCTGAGGGAGTCTCCTTCCTTTCTTACTTAGCCTATGATTATTTGGACACTTCAGTAACCATCTGTATGAATACCACTTTGTAAAAAAAGTTCTCTGTGATCCAGAAGTCACTTACACCTTTGTGAAACAACCACATTTTTCTGAGACAATTTTTTAGTACAAACAGGAAGCTACTCTGCAGTGAAAATCTGCTTTAATTTTGAACCATCTACTATGCAACTGTTTACCTGATAACAGAGCATCTGCTGAGTAAACAGAGTCTTCTTCAAAGGAAAATAATAATATATAGAAAAATTATTTCACCATTTATTTGAGAAGGAGCAAGTGCACCCATGAATGCACACGTGAGCATTCTAGCTTTGAAAGAAAAAGGAGAGAAAAAATCCTATCTGGAACAGGGAAAAAATTTTCAAAAGACTCTTCAAAGAGTCTCTCAGCTAATCCTGTGGGACTTGAGAAGAGGGAGATGAATCTGAGGAAAAAAAGGAGGTCTTTAATTAAACTCCTCAAGCCCTGTATATGCATATGCATGTTACATATGTCTACTGCTAGAATTATTTGCTCACTCCTTGATGGGTGTTGCTGTATTGCACAGTTCAAGATCCCTTCCAAAAGTGAGTTGAGATCCAAAAAAATGCAATGGAGAAATAAACAGGACAGAGAGAGAGAGACATTTGGTTGAAACAGCTGCTCAAGCCCCTCGGCATCTCACAAAGATTATCTGCATTGGAAGTTTGCCTTTGGTAGCACCCTCACACAAGTAACCACGCCAGAATTTATCCACTGACAGGGACTGTAACCTACTAAGGACTAGAGAATCTCAAAGGATTCATGTTCATACTGAAATGCTGCTACAGGCAGCAAACAAGATCCACTGATAGAGACAAAAAATAATCATTTTGGAAACATGCTTTCATGACCCTGATTGCTTTTTTTTTGCTCTGGCTGAACTGTAATCTCATTATGGATTGAAAGAGTAACATTGTTTAAAAGTTTAAAATAATCTTGGAATCATTTTATGTTGCATCAAGTAAATTGTTTTTTTGGTGGTTCTATAAATAGACAGTGAAACCTGAAGATCACTTTTTTTTTCCTACTAAGCAGTAGTATAGTAAATAATGTAGTAATGACCTAAAATTGAAACCCTTGATATTTCAGCAGCTCTGAATGCCTTAGTACCTCTTCAATATTCCTTAGTTTCTTAGTTTTAATCTTTCCTGGAATTATGGGACATAATGTATGAAAGATACGTGTGTGTGTGTGTAGATATAAAATATGTATGTATGAGTGTAGATATGGAGGTACATATTAAAATGAAAGGACTGGAAAATGGCACACATTTAAGAAACCTAGAGAGAAAGGCTAGTATTTAGTTGCAATTGGGGGAAAAATAGTAATTAAGTAGAAACAGGTTGTGGAGGAAAGGAGCTCTTACCTCAGGAGACAATCTGCCCTACTTGCTTTTCTCACATTTTGAAATCTATGAATCTTTTACTTGCTTTATCACTTTCCTGATTCCCTGCGGGCCAGAGCTGACAGCTAAGCCTCTGTTTTATCTTAAACTGTTCAAAGAATGTCAGAAAATGACTTACCCTGCTGAGCCTGAAAGTAGCAGGAACCCACCTACTGGTTACCCCTAGACCAGGTGAACACTGTTGCTTCAGTGAAATCATAATGATAGTCCCAGAACAGCTGGCAGATTGTTAGAATATACGGTCTTTTACTGCTTCCAGTTGAAATCCAGAAACACAACTGACCTTTTTTTTTTTTTTATCGTAGATGTAATTATTTATGTCTTGAGCCACTCTGATATCAGCAGAAAAAGACAGTTTTTCACCCTGTGTTGTTACCAGCTGTTTTGTATATGGACAGGGTCAAGTAGTTGCACTGTCTGTAACTGTCAGCTCTGCTCATTCAGTGGGCTCTCTTCACTGTCTTTGAATACAACCTTTAAAAATCCTTTCTATTTTTATACCATTGCACTGTAAGAATTAGCTTTAAAATACAATGTTGTCACAATATTTTGGCATGATAAAATGCAGGGATATGTGCTGCATTTGTGGCTGTATTAATGTCTCTAAAAATAGGATTCCACGGGAATTTCTACAGTAATTTCATTTTAGTAGGTGTTAACTTGTGATAAAAATTGATGTATCTCAAACAGTTCTCTGTGATCAAGCAAAATAAAGCAGAATAGGAATTGTAGACTATGCTCAACCCGTGTCGTGAAATAATATGCTGCAATAGATGCATTTCATCTTCAAAGTTTTACTATTTGTATTACCATCAGAAGTAGCATACAAGTAAGTGGTATATGAGATTGTTAGGTTAAAATTCATCTGAATGCCTCTGAACCCGTGTTTTGCCATTCTCAAGAGGAAGCTATAACACCATTCTTCACTTCTTTTATCTCTTGTGAAATAATTGTTTCTTTTTTGATAACTGAGGGGAAAAATACCACTCATGCTAAGCACAGCTCCTTTTATTGTGACAGGTTATCTTTGGATTTTGTGCTGATGAGAAGGTTTGCAGGGAATTTATCATTGATGTCCTCTTAAATAATAATAACCAAGTTTTGGAGGTACAAGTTGGAGGTCTTGTGAATCCATGAAGGTCTGGAAAACTGGCCCAGAATGAGTCTTTCAATTCTTCCCCTTATTGTGAGGTCAAGAGAGGTGGGAAGTTTATTACCTTTAGCTCTGCACATCAGAAATTTCCTGCTTATTTTTTGTAGAATGGAACATTTCTCGAAGTCTCTCCAAAAACATCAGGGATGTAATTTCAGATCTTTGTTTACCATATTAGTATATTGGCTTACCATAAAACCTTCAACCCTAGTCCTGTTAGGAAGCATTTCTCTACACAAAACAAAATCAGTGGTTTTATTTTCCTTTAAATTTGATGTTGTTGTTGGCACACTTTGATTCATTATAGTGTGCAAACAAAAGAAATGGTGTCCTCTCCAATTAACACTAGTAGATCATGCAACAGTAGAGGTGTACTACCTTGAAATGTATCCCTTGGATTAGGAAACAAATGTCAGTTATACGGGGTTTTTGAACCATTTCAGATGGATAGGAACTTAATGTGAATTGTGTTACTTGCTATAATGTCTTTCTTTGCTCTTACTTTGCTCACTCTTGGCTAATTTAAATGCCAGCTCACTTCTGATTTTTGGGAATTTGTGAGTCCCATGAATCCTTATCATGATGTTGTGGTAGGCTCTAGGGTATATAAGGATACTGTGACTGAAAAGACACTGGGTAAAAAGGTGTTATTTCCTGTTAACTAAAAACACATTGCATTGCAGAAATTACAATCTGAGGACGTTTCAGAGATGTGGTGAGAAACTTGGATAGAATTATCTTTGATAGGGAGATTGTGTACAAACCACTGTTCCGTTATTTATGTTACTTAAGTAACTTTATCACATATTGTTAAAACATTTAAAAAACCCAGAAGAGCAGCTGAGTAATTTTTGTGTCCTTCATAAAAGCACTGTTTATAGAAGTAGTTCCAAAGTGATTAATTGTCGCTGATTATTGCATAATGGTGGGCCTTGGCTTGTGCTGAGGACCATCATTTGAAAGGACTCAGCACCTTCTGAGAGGTCTCCTGCAGGATCGAATCAATGATATTTTGGATGATTTCCCAAAAAGTACAGTATGGTTGCTGACAGTGGATAAGGAAACAGATTATGCAAATTCAAAGTACACAATATGAAAGCTTGGGGTACCTAGGCACACATTTTCTGCAGTCATAGGTTTTTCAGTGCCCTTCCTCTCCACTATTAAAAAAGGAACAATAATATACTTACTTTATGAAAGCATAGGAAAACAATTTCAGTTTTCCGACTATTTGTTTTGAACAAATACTGATGATATTGCTCTCGTTATTAGACGGACAGATCTGCCAATGGGCTGATGAAAGAAATGACGATGAATGAAGATTACAAGCCACAGATCATCGTAAAAGAAATTAACTCCAGCAGATGCAAAATTCTGTATTATGCAATATTGCTTGTCCAGATTTGTGATAGCTGCTGTAACTGTTTCACTGCAGGAAGGGGTATCAGTGATGTGGCTAGCAAGGCACAGTTTTCAAACAGTTTTTTTTTTTCAATATATCTTTGCTGAGCAGAAATATAAAATAAAAATCTGTATTTTAAAATATTCATTTATTTTTCTTTCTTTCTTACAGCTTGTGGCCAATGCAATCCTTTTTGTCAGCGTAAATTTGTATGGGGTCTTTGTGAGGATTTTGACAGAAAGGGCTCAGAGGAAGGCATTCCTTCAGGCCAGGAACTGCATTGAGGACAGGCTGAGACTGGAGGATGAAAATGAAAAACAGGTCAGTTTCTAAGCCTTATTTATTTTTCTCTGTTTCTCCTGAGATGACTGTAGTTATGTGAACCACAAGTTAGGACATTGTTGCCAAATTTATGCTAGGGCATGTGCATTTTCATTGTAAAGGAAGTGCTGCCTTCCCCCATCTGCTTCAGGTCTTCCTCCCAGAGCATGCACACTCTTCATCTGCAGAGCTCAGAGAAGGTGCAGGCTGACTCCACAGCTACTGTCACCTCCAGTGCCAGAGGAGATCTATTTTAGGGCTGAGTCAATTCTAATGTACTATTTTAATATAAGATCGCGGTTATTTATCTGCATGGATGTTTTTGGGTGGGTGTTAGATGCACTGTAAATACTTTTCTTCTTGCTGAGTGTGCTATAACCTGTTTGCCTTCATGACACCCATAAAAAAGTCAACATTTTGGGCACAAAGAGCTGCACTGATAACTGAATAAGTATAATTGATAACAAGAATTTATACATTATATATTTGTACAACTAATAATAAGAATGACTGTGATAGCAATCAGTATCTCTTCTCAAAAACCACCTCAATTATTTGATAGTTTACTTCATATAGTTTTATCAATCAGCCTTCCAAGCATATTTGGAAATAATAGAAAAAAAAAAGTGCTATATTGTGGACCTTGCTGTTGTTACTCACAGGTTTTGATGCTGTTTGGGTTTTGCCTTTTTTTTCTTTATATGTTCTCTGTATTCTTCACACTTATGTTTGTAACTCTGTCACCTACTGTATTAGTGGCTAGGTTTCCCAGTACTTTCCCATGGCCTTTCCCTAAGCAGAAAGACAAAATAAATTCCAGAGCTCCAAGCCCTGGGAGGTAGAAGACTCTATACTATCTTGGTTCATCCTGGGAGAACAACTCTTCAAGATACATTTAATGGACAAAGCACAACTAGTGCTGAACAGGGGGCTCCAGAGAAAAGGCTTGACCTGGGGGGGAATTGCATCACCACTTGTCCTCCTAATTGGTGCTTTTTATCAATTATGTTAATTTCCTAAAACCTATAAATGTGTACTCATCCCTGGCGGGGGTGGGTTTTGTGGACATCTTTCCATAACTGCCTCTGAAAACCTTCAAATGAAGATTGCCTTTTATATTACCTCCTTACTAAAATTACCTCAAGTTTCATTTCCAGATTGCAAAAAAGGCAACAATCTGAGGCTTAAGCGTGCTATGATCTATTTGGACTAGCTTTTTCTTTCTGCATAGATGATAAAAGAGGGTGACACTGGAATACCTCTGTGGCATGGTGGTTACTTATGCCAAACAAGATATCAGAGTCCTCAAAGGTTATGTACCTCACACAGTTTTACCACTCCTCATTTGCAAATTCTTTAGCAAGTCTGTTCCTTTGTGTGGAGCAGCGCAGTTCCATAAGTACTTTCTGTTATGAATTAAGTGAATACATTTTTATGAGATGAACATACTCTGTAACAAGTAGACATCACTTTGAACACTGCACATCTTTGCAGTGTTTTTTTACAGTGTCTGTGTAAAAATGGTATTAGTATCAAAGCCTTTAGATTTAATTTTGGTCTTTTGTAATCCAAAGCTGCAGATTTTTTAAAGGCACAAATGTGTCATAAGTGAATTACCATGGGATTTAAACAAGCCTGCCATTTGTGCCTTTGGAAACCTACTTCAGGGCTCCAGCATGAAAACAAAATTGATTGTTTGTGTTTCTCTTGTTAACACTTTAGAAATCTGTCTTATTTTATATATTATCCATGCATATAGAAACACAACAAAGCAATAAACATTACACATAAATGGCGTTATTGATGATAGTATACCTAGATAATCCTGCAAATGTTTTTCCAATGCAGTGTACTGGTCAGGAAAGAGAGTAAACTTTTCTCCTACACTTGTGAAATTAGCTTTATTCATTACAGTGTAAAACAGGATACAGTTGTGAAACGTGATAACTAGCTGTCACAGGTACCACCAAAATACTTTCTGTGGCTGCTCTCACACAATATTAGCATACCTCTAGAACAAGACTGAGAATTAAGACACAATTACAGGCTACAAAATTATTCTTCAGTTGCTGTGGCATAACATACCCTGAGTTTCCAGCTGGCAACATTCAAGAGAGTTTTGAGAGGAGAAGAAACGCTGCTGACCTAGTTCAGTTTTTGTGATCAGTCCTATATTTTTGTTCTCTGAAGTATCAATATTACATGTTAAAAAGGGCTGAATGTTTTCATCACACCATCTTGTCTCTGCCCTAAAAACATAGCCCTTTAACACTGAGAATTGTAACCCAAAATGATAAAACTATTCCCTTATATTTCTGTGAAAGTCTTTTACTGGAAAGAACATGGTCTTGACTTTTGAACATACACAGCTTTCTCGAGTTAAAAGTGTTGATGGTGTGAAACAGATACCACAGCTGAAATTGTAAGTGAGATTTCTTCCTCTGTGTCCTACTTACAGTGAATTCTCCTCATGGGATATATTTGTAGTAATAGTCCCACATGAGAATTTTGACAAAACTATTTTTGTGAGCAAGAGTAAATATCTTGTTGGCACATTTTTGGATTTATGAAAGCAACCTTGAAAGTGTTGCTGGGGAGAAAGAGAGCAGACAGCTTCTCTTTATTTAAAAATTCAGTGTAATGTTATCTATCACCCTGTTATCTATACTCTGTGGTCACAATGAATAACTGGCCTTGATGGCCAAGAGTCATAGTTGATGGTAGCATAATCCATTTGTTGTGTTGCTGAATGTTAGATTGCAATTCCACCAGAAGTGAAGGCCAAGAACCAAGTAAGTTTTAGACAATGAGCAAATAGTTATAATCATCCACTTGGGAGAAGCTTCTTCTCTTGTTCTCTATAAATCTCAGCAGCAAGCCATCCTTTGCAGAGCAAACAGCTGAGAGTAATTTTTGTGAGGTGGGTCCTTTTCCCTGGAATTCTGTTTTTTGTTCATGCTCAGTCAGAGCATGTGAGCACTTCCCCTCACTCTAACTGCACCATTTCTCTGTATCCACTTGTTTAATTCCAGATCATCCTTTTCCCATACAGCAAAAAAAAGCATTGTCACCCAACTCCCTGAAGGACTGTTAAAGCATCCCAACTGATCTTCCAGCATAGTTCAGCCCTTCCCAAATGAGAAAGGAGCAAGCAGGGATGGGGAATGGGGGATGTATTCAGCATAGAAAGAGTCTGCTGCTGATTGAACTGGTTGCCATCTGATAAAGAGTGATATGAGTAAGGAAGATGTGGCTCACCATGTATTAATTCCAGGTGTAGTAGCTCCTGAAGTGGAGCTGTGCTCCAAGGGAGAGATACCATTGTTCTCCTGAGGCCATCTTAACTTGAAAAGCAACTGGACCACTGTCTTTAAAGACCTGCAGACTTCTGTTTTCCAAATGTCTCTTTCAGCATCTTTACAATTTTGTTGTCCCCACAGTTTTGTGGTCATTACTCTGTGTACTAATTAATATTCTAATTTTGTGCTGTGTGAAGGAACTTCCTTTTATTTGTCATGGACTTGTTGTCTGATGAATTAATTTTGTGCTTTCCAGATCTTGTTTTGTGGCATTGGTAATCATTTTACAGTAACCTCTTTCATGCCACACTGTAGACTTTTATAACCCTGCTCATCTATCTCTCTTTCCAAGCTGAAGACCTGTCACCTCTGGTCTCCTGATGTATGGAAGCTATATCCTACCCTGGTCTTGCCAACCTTGTAACAAATCTTAATCACATTCCCTCCTTTCTTTGCCCTGACAATAAGAATATTTTGATGCATATTCATGCATTGAATTTGGGGATAAAACACATAATTTATCTTGGTGAAATGCACTTGCTGTAGCACAGATTGATATGAAAAGTGCCTGTTGCTTTCATATAAGACAGGCAGGGAAAACATTTGACCTCATGCAAACCTTCAAAGCCCACAAAACTACCTTAAATATCTTCACTGGTTATTTAATTTCATAAGTACATGCAAGTATGTTTGCAAAATAAAGACTGTCTTTCATGCCACTTGTCTAGATCTTTCCTTCCCTCCTAAATGTTACTTTTGTACTTCCTCACAATTGGAATTGACAGTGGAAAATCAACTGGAAAATAGCAAAGTCCCCAGAATTTGCTATCTTAAAAACAAATTGTGAAATTACATCTTGTTTTTCAAACCATTGGGACTGGAGAAATGTATTTATTGGTGTCACCTGTCTTTCAATAAGTAGTTGTGTACTTCACTACAGTGCATGAAATTTATATCTATTTAATATAAGAAACTGAAAGAAGCACTTAAAAATGACCGGGAGTGAGGAAGCATGGAGCTGAGACAACTCTGTGTCTAGCTTCAGGACCACAAGACTGCCACTGCAGCTAGACTAATCACATTTGCTGAAGTATTGTTCAACACCATGCTACTGCAGTAACGCTGGTTCTGGGAGACAGACTAGAACTTTGGTGGTGGTCTGCAGTTCCTCCATACATGTTCACCAGATCATGTGCAGCTAGCTAAATTTTCCTTATGCAATGCTGAATCGTGTGTGCAAATATCTGCATACATATGCATCTGCATTCTAAGCGTCTTCTGCAATTTAGGGCAATGTCCTTAACATTGTGTGTAGTAACTGGGTCACCACTGAGTCAGAGATTTGATTAATAACTATTCATAGAAATGGAAAATGTGTCAACAAAAGATACCATGACTCTGACTGCACTTTGAACTACTGCTTAGGGTGTCTTGCGTTCAAATTCTCTGCTGCATTCAGATTCCCCTTTAAAACAATTTGATCTAGACATTACACATTTTGGATATGTGTACTACCTCTTGTACATTTGAGCAAAAAGATGACACCTACAGAAATCCTCCAGTGGTTTTGTCTTCTGTGTTTAATGTCAAGCCCTTATGAAGAATGGGAAAAAATTACATTAACTTTGAATAAAGCAAATCATGTTGGATTTTGTTTTGGTAGTGGATAACAAGTTGCAGAGGTTTTTATCCTTTCAATTC